AAATTGTTTTTTCCGTGCACGAAAACGTGACGAGATATTTTTGTGACAAAAGATGTCGCGAGTGAGCTCATCCGACTGTGAAATTAGTTAAAGTTTGATTAACGCGGAAAGAAAAACTGGCGAAGGATAAGGAGATGATGAGGAAGGAAAAAAGATCATTTCGTAAGCCGAGCGAGATTACGCTCGCGTGCTGCGCAATTCTTCGAGATTGCGCCGATTCTTCTTCGGTAAATATAACAGAAAGTAATGCATAACTTTTACACTGAAAGAGAGAGAAGGAAAGAGATCTTTAAGTAAAGCCTTCACTTAAGGAAATATCTTCATTCACAAGGAACTTTTATCGTGAAATGCTCACCGCAAACCGAGAAATTTCTTTAACCAATTATGTAAATTTTCTGAAACCTATTATCTAACGATTTTTCGATCCTTACGAATAACGCAGAGATTTTAGGATCTGCGAGTTCACACTAGAAATCTCGTGACGGCAACAATATCGTCACAGTATCGCGCTCAGGATTGGAGTCGGTGTGTAATTAATGATTAAATAAATATTCTATTTATCATAACAAGTCTATCACAAAGACATGATATAATCACGTAAACAAGCTCATTATCTACAATGTCTAATACTTCAGAAAGACAATTTTAAAACTCATCAACAAGTCACATTCAGTAGACATCACTACGGGGACAGCGGGTTGTTGGTGATTTCTACGAAGCTAAATCACTTATTGCAACATGAAGACACACAAGGTTCACAGGAATAACTATTATTTTAACTATCATAGCATACTACTAGATGTTGCGTAATCGACCTCTGTCAATGACTGTATAAGTACGTTGTAAAAAAACGCTTTTATTGTAATGACGCAAGCGCGTGTAACGAGCGCGTGCAAGTACTTTTTGGTTTACTGACATCAGACATCAAGGTCACTAGCATCAATTGCGCCGAGGTTGAACTTCCCACCGAGTTCACGCGCGTATTAGCCAATCGAGACTATAACTTCTGTTCTTGCTCGAGAGAGAAACAGTCCGACGACTCAACGAGATTCGGACGTTTTAGTTGGAGATTCGGAAGTTTTAGTTGGAGATTCCCTCTCGCTCTCCAAATTTCTTGGAGTGAAGCTTCACTCGAAAACTTGAGCGACCACACCAAGTCACCAAGTTGAATTCGAGTGATTTTTCACTCATACAGAGCGAATTCCCTACTCTGAGTCGTCGAGTGAATAGTTTTACTCGAAGCTGAAGAGTGAATTTAACGTACAGTGACTTGCAAAACGGTAATGAAGTTGGGAGCTCACAAAATTGTCAAAATTGAGAATCATTATTCTATGTAATTATATATTTCTATGTAATTATTATATATCATTACTGTATGTAATTATATTATATTAATTCCTTGTATTAGTATTATTTTTATTTATTATATTATTTTATGTTCTTAATTATATATTATTATTTGTTGAGCGCTCACTTCGTCTAAATCCAATCTACTATACTCCACTGTCACCGGAACATTCAATCGATTGAATAATTTTCGCTCAGAATCTAAGCTAACAATGTTGAGCAATATATATATATATATATATACCGGGTGTCTCACACTCTCCTCCGGGCATTTTGTGGAGACGTAGAACAGGTTGAGGTAAACATAATAATTAAAAATCTATGTGATTATTTGCAAAATGGTAGAGGACTTTTTTGTTCAATTTGACCTAAAGTATAAGTATACACGACGGCAGTCGTCGCTATTATAACTCATTTACCATATCCTGTATGATCATTCACAAATTTTCTACAATTAATATCTCGATAATTATTGCAAATATCGCAAAACGGTATAGGACTTTTATGTTCACCTCAACCTGTTCTACGTCTCCACAAAATGCCCGGAGGAGAGTGTGAGACACCCGGTATATATATATATATATAT